GATGGTCTAGATGGGTAAATTACAAAAGTAGCGCTCATTTATTTGATAATAAATATATTTATATAGCCTACTGTTCAATGTATTGGGCTTAGTAAGATTTTTTATTTTATTTTTTTAAATAAAACTTTTATTTAACAAAGAAGCATTAAATCGATCGAAAATGATTTAGACTTACATTGTTACTAAAAATATATATATTAAATGAATGCTATTCTTTTGAACCTGTGTGGCCACACAACCGCTTAACTGTAATAAATGTTTGAGCACCAAATCAGCATATAAGACTTATTTGTAAAAATGTATGAAAATTCAGTTTTGACATTAAAAATATAGACTATTTGCCATTTTAAAATATATTAAAATGAAAAACATTTCTTTTAAATTTTAATAATATTTTCCAATATTACTGTATTTGTGATCAAATAAATGCAGCCTTGGTGAGCATAAGAGAATTATATACTATAGGCTAGGCTATATAATAGTTGTAGTTCCGTTATTGCTGTTAATCTAATAGCTTTAGTTCCAAAGACAAAAAGCTGTGCTCAGAAACCACGCTGCCAAGATCATCTCAGCATAGTATTTAGTAACAATAATAAACTAGCAGTCTTTTAACAGAGCTTCATTAAAATTGGCATCTGGCTCCATCATCTGGTCAATAGAAGCTGTGGGTGCGGTTCATTTCCTGAGCGGTAGCGGGCGCTGCTGTCCCGCTTCCAGTCCCTTCTCCGCTCGCGCAAGGAATGTGCTTGCGTTGCGCAGGAAACCGCTAGTTTCTCAAGACTTTCAAATGCGGTGGCTGCACTGTGAACCATATTAAAGTTACAATTTAGTAGAAGGCCACCAGAAGAACATTTAAAAACATAGCTTTATAAAAATCTTTCCCAGCAGCCACTTGGAGTATTTTTTTTTTCTTTGTGGAGCGGGGTCGTTTATCGTTTATCTGAGGACTTGGGTTTTATATTTCACTCAGCTACCGTTGAATACAATTTAGTAGAAGGCCACCAGAAGAACATTTAAAAACATAGCTTTATAAAAATCTTTCCCAGCAGCCACTTGGAGTATTTTTTTTTTCTTTGTGGAGCGGGGTCGTTTATCTGAGGACTTGGGTTTTATATTTCACTCAGCTACCGTTGACTTTTGTCACACTGTTGTGTCAGTATAAAAACCTACTTTACAAGTCTTTTTTTCGTCAGAAAAGAGGATTACGCTTTGAAGATGTCCGTGGCGGGCTTAAAGAAACAGTTTTACAAAGCTAGCCAGGTTTGCGAGTTACTTTTTTTCCTGTTGTTTTCTTCCATTGAACCGCAATGCTGTGCCAATTAGCTTAGCCTGCTAACGCTGCGCTAAACTTCAGTCCGCTATTCTGCTCTTTAAAACTATTTTGTGTGTTTTTCTTCTATCTGTATTTAACTCTTTCAGAATATTTACGATGATAAACCGTGCTGTTGTTTAACTGTCATATCCCTGTAGAGTTATAAACTGCTTGCTTTATGTATTTAATGTCGGTCTTGTTCTAACTTGCAGTCATTGCAACATTTAATATTTTGACAGCTTTCACTGGTCATAGATAGTACGCGTCACTTTTTTGGGTGCGTTCACACCTAATTGTAGGTTACAATGTGTTATAAATATGCATAAGAGTGTCTGTTTTCTTTTAGCTTGGTATTGCAATACAGCGCCCACGTCCTTACTATATCACTTCATTTGCCACGTTTACTGCAGTAAAATGAACGAGCATATGCTCATGATCTACTCGTGAATTAGGGTTGTTTTAAAATATAAGCATACTGTATATATATATATGAAAATTCTGCATACAAAGAATATACTGCAGCAGTAAGTTTACCGGAGATTACCGCAGTTTCCTTCAATGCATCTGTTGGACAAACACGTTTTGTTTGTGTCTCTTGTTTCTATGGTTCACACTTTATGCTGGCAATATGTAGTTGAAAAATGTGGCTTACAGCACTGGCTTTCGTTTTCAAAATGAGCAAAAGTCAGTCATGTAACTTTGGTTAAAGAAACCTTATTATTTACACAATGGCCAGAATATGAATATGAAATACAGGGAATATGAAAATTCCTACCAGGATGAAAATAAAAAGCTGTAATTTATCTTTGCTCAGTGAGGAATTTAAAGTTCAAATACTATTACACCAATCTCTGTAATTTTGTCCAAAGGATTGAGGCAAAGCAACTAATACCACAAAACATCACAGAATTGATCACTGGCGTTTCTGAAATAATGAGATCTTACAAAAGACTAACAGGATAGAAATTGAAAACACAGAAAACAAAAACTATGAAATTAGTTGCAAGAACACATTTTGATTAATACTTTGATTATAGCGAGAAAAGAATGGAGAAACACCTGAAATATTTTAAATACATTTTTTTTCATGTTAAACGTTAGTATGCTCTTGATCAAAGTAGTGAAATTATTTAAAGTTTGCTTCTATTTTCATGTAATTGTCATATTATGGTAAAAGAAAATTGACTAATGTGGTTTACAATTGTGAGTTTATTATATTAAGCAATATATTTAATACATCTGATGGGAGCATGAAAGTGTACTGCATAACAGCAATAACTCAGTATCAGCAGATCTTTGGAGAAAGAGCTTTTTTGGCTAGTTATATCTAAACAAAATTATATCCATCTAGTTTAGTTGAATATTGTCATATTAACATGGTAAAAGTGAAACAGAATGATGCATGTTTGTGGGCTCGCAGCAGGCAATGTGTTGGCTTAAAATGTGCCAAAAGTCTCACTTTGACCTGTGAAGACAATCAAATGTGTTGTCATGAAAACCTCTCGCTGATTTTGGCTGCTCTTGCGTTGTTGTGGTGGTGTTGTGAGAAGGTTCTTTGTCAATGGTTTATGGTGTAATTAACTCAAGACTTAAAGTGTTTTTTGTCAATTTGTTAGTTTCTCGTTGCCAGTGGTAGTGTTTTCCAAAGGGCACATGAGCACAGATGTAGGGGAAGCAGCACATCTCTGTCCCTGTTCGCTGATCTCAGCAGGAAGGGACAATCTGTTGCCCAGTTTCCTGTTAGGAACATACTCAGATCCCCAGTGGGGGGTTTACACGAGCGGGAGAGTACAGCAGGGCAAAGGAAAATGGCCAACGTTTGGGCCTGAGAGGCGGAGTATGAATCATGCAACACTAAGTGGGGTTGCTTGCTGTGCTCTCTCCTGCTCTGCCTGGCTCTTTTTATTGGACTGCAGTGCTGCAGCAAACTCATGACAGCATTCCACAGTAATCAATACTTAACACAGGCCGGACACCCTGCCAAAAGACAAACTCTGACACCAGTCACACCTTCAGTCCAGCCTTCCTCTCAGTGTGCTGTCCGGAGAACTGTTTGAGATACTGTGTGGTTGCCTTTTTAATGTACCAATCGTTTACATGTAGCGCGTCAATTCTCTCTCTCCCTCTCTCTCTGTGTGTGTGTGAAACAACGCGACGGCGAGTTGTGCGCCTTCACACCAGAGTTTACGGTACGTTAAATACAGGTGCGTTGCACATCCTTTCAGATGAACTGAAAAACAGCACAGATCGCTTGACGGAGAGAGAAACTCTGAAGCGCTCAGTCAGAGAGGGTTCGGCGAGAGAAAATATATCTGAGCTAAACTTATACTTAGCCTCCAACTCACACACTGGCGAGTAAAATCTGAGAATTTATTAGCAATTGGCTAATATTAGACATCATTTAGTCGCCCAGAGTGAAGATTTAGTCGCATATGCGAGTGATTTACTCGCAATGTACAGGGTTGTGAAAACACCAGGGAATGTTTTTCAGTTAGCTTTTTTTCTGAGCAGAAACAGTGCTTTTATGCTCTGGCATTCTCCAGCCTTGTTTGCAAATGGTAATTGTTAGAACAATATAAAATCGTACGAATTAGAATGACTGACATGTGATAGATAACACATTTTACCACAGCATAGCCTTTGTGGTATAGAGTCTGGCGTGCTTGCTGCAGTGAGTGCTGCACAGGGACAGGGTTCTAAAAGGCTTAACTTGGCTAATATATGAAAATTACCTGTAGGAAATCTACTGCCAAAAGAACAAAGCTGTAATCCATGGATAAATGTTGTGTGTGGATAAGTGTTTTCTTCCCCATAGTCTATTAAAGTGACTGTGAAATTATATATATATATTTAATTTTTTTATATTTATAAAAAAAAAAATTGTAATGGATAGTTCACCCAAAAAATTAATTAATTAAAAAAAAAAAAAAAAAACTGAAAATTGACTCACCCTGAGGCCATCAAAAAGGTATATGAGTTTGTTTTTTCTTTGTGCCATCAGAATGTGAGTTCAAACAGCTGATAAAAATATAACAGTAATTCACATGACTCCAGTCCATCAATTAATGAATTAAAGTGAAAAGCTTCATCATTAAGATGTTTTAAACTTCAAACCGTTGCTTCTGGCTAAAATACGAGTACTCTATCCATAATATTGCTTTCTCCAGGGAAGAAGCTACCTTGTCTGAATCAGGAGAGAAGTATGCAAATCAAGTACCAGTTATAAATAAATATGTTGGTGGATTTTGATGTGACAGGACAACAAGGGGAGGAAGTGTTATTGTAGATTACAGCTTAATGTAAAAAGTTGCTCTTTACATTTTGATTTTGGGCTCTTCTGTCTGCTGTAGACACTGTTATCAATATTTTTATGACAAATTTCTACTGACAAAAAACTTAATAGCATGAGATATTTAATTGGTTATGTTGTCGTTGTTTTGAAAGTGGATACACTCATTGAGTCTGTATTTGGAAATTGGAAAGTGGACTGCTCCTGTAAACTGAAGTTCATCCATCTAACTCTGGCTGACTGCAGTCAGTGGGGTGGTGCCAACCTAAAAAGTAATTTCTGCACCACTGCAGTGCAGTGAACTGCTTTTGTGAATGCTCCCTCTGTCTTCCACTGGTTAGACAAACAGATGCCATTGGTTGCTCCATTGTTGCTGTGTTAGGCTTGTTGGGATGCTACAACAACCAGCAGTGTTTTAATTGCGCCACATTGTTTACACTCCTAGAAATCATCCTACGAATGCCTTCTAGTAGGCATGGGCCGATTACCGGTTTCAAGGTATACCGCGATTTGAAAATTTCACGGTTTCAAAACCACTAATATTTTCCGTTATACCGTTCCTGCGGTGTGTGCTGTTTTTCATGTCTCCTCAAAGACTGAACATGTAAGAATCCCTTCAGGTTGAGTGCAGTGTAGAGAGTAACAGGACCCTCCTCCTCCTGTTGGTGCGAGCAAGCGGTCAGTCACGTGTGTGTTTGACGGCCGAACTTAAGGAGCTGCCCCTGGAACTTACGCGATCGGCAACCGG